AATTCTCTCGTGGTTGTCCTCACCATTTCGATGCAGTGGCCAACTGGCAACCATATCAATAATATGTATTCTTTTCTGAAAATCCACTCAATCAGTAAGTGATTGATAAATTGGAGGCCAAGAAATACACATATAATTTTTTCTGAAAAAGAATTTTGCTCATGCTATTTTTGTAGTAGTCCTTTGGCGATGAACAATGAGATGCGAGAAGAACAGAGATAGACACCGACGAGTATGGGTTGAAATAATCATTCCTATGGCTCTCACCGCTGATGTTAGGGTTTGGAGTGGGCGTCTGTTGAGGTGCCGGCTGATTTTCCTCGGTGTGTTGCGCTGGGGATGGTCCAGGGTTTGGAGTGGCCGTTTGTTGATCTTCCTCGGGGCGTTTGGAGTCAGAGTCTTCAACCCAGCGCTCTGGTTGGTCGTCGCGGTGGCGGCGTTCAGCCGGAGGCATGGGTGGTGGCGGACGAGGGGAGGAGCGCTGTGGTCCGGCCGCCATGACGGGGAAGGCACTAGGGCTTGGATATTTCCTTGGAGGGGAGGGGAAAGGTGCGGGGTTGGGCCGTGCCTCTGGACTGGACTATCGTGTTTTCCTTTCGAGTAGTATTAGTTAACCTAGCCAATACTATTTCTACACGATTACTGTCTCCAAGTCCAAGCCGGCCACAGAATTGCATGTCGTGATTAACTCCAACACTTGATCCTCTACTGCGTGATGATGGTTCTTCTTGCGACTCACAAGGCGAAATCAAAGGTATGGTTCAACAGTTTGATAATAATCTTTTCACCTCCGAGCCTTGTCATGATCTTGATGTCCTCACAAAGTTACACATGAGATGAATGGCTTTCTTTTTTTGGGTAAATACAGAATTTCATTTAATCAAGGTGGTTCTTTACAATTCTCTTGACAAAGATTGCTAATCTCCTCTGGTTCAGTAGAAGTGCATGCTTTAGTCAATGCAACCAAACAACCGACCTCATGAAAGAGACTGGCCAATACATTTATACGTCAACACTCCTCCTCACATGTGGCTCCTTCCGGCCTAAACGTGGACCGAAAGTGGGCTACAATTTAATTATGCCAGCCGGGTCTTGAACTCAAGACCTCTTGGCTCTAATACCATTATAAAAGTGCATGCTCTAGCTAATGCAATCAAAAAACCAATCTTATGAAAGTGACTGGGCAATACATTTATACGTCAAACAAGTCCATGGCGGAGCCAGACAGCAGTACGAGTAGATAATCTACCCATTTGAGCAAGTGTGTGAGTTACCCTGTTCTGTCCCCTACCCACATGGGTCACTGGGTACTCTTTCGAAACGGGATCTCCCCTGCTTTATAGATAAAGCATAGACCAAGGTACACGGCTGAACGTTATAGTGAGGTGAAAATTCATTTCATATTTCAACCTCACATTAATTAAAATATGTGAGAGATGAAAAAGGTATTTGCATATTGTTAAGTAGGGCTGCTACATTTTTCACGTACTTTGCATATTGTTAAGTAGGGCTGCTACATTTTTCACGTATTTTGCATATTGTTAGTCCATTGCTAAGTGTATTTGGTGACGTACTTGGCAACACTTGGTAGGTTCCAAGTGTCTTACTTTTGCCGGGTTTATTTTGGGAAGCACTCGCCAAATAAGCAAATATATACTCCCTCCGTCCCAAAATAAATGACTCAATTTTGTACTAACTTTATACTGAAATTAGTATAAAGTTGAGTCACTTACTTTAGGATGGAGGGGGTACTTATTTGACGAGTGCCTGTGGAAAAGAACTCGGCGAGCTGCCACGCACTCGGAGTAAAACATTTTTCCGGTAGTGAAGGTTGAAAAATCCAGTAAGAAAAAAAATCGGACCTCACCCAAGTTTTGAAATTTGAGAGATTTATTTTTTGGGGGATTCCATGTATCGCAATTCACATAATTTAAATGGATTTTGATTGAATTTGAATTTGGGTTGAAATTAGTTTAAAGTTGGCTCAAAATTGCAAGGCTACGAATATTTTGACGCCGACCGAAATCATCGGAATTTTGGATTTTGGTTGAAATTTGACCCCTATGGTACTAGCTAGCTAGAATCGGAGGAGGGACTCCTTCCTATGCGAGAAAACTTAACGACTTTTGTTTTGACAAAAGAAAACTTAACGACTTAATCTCCCTCGATCGCAGACCAAAAATGCTGGGTC